GGGGTCCCCTTGCTATCCTCAGTCTGTGGCTGCCTCCCTGCCACCAGATAGTCAGGCCTCACTTGTCTAGCCAGGAGAGTCCCAGTATGACAGCATCTGTCATTTTGGGGGGCAGTATGAATCAAATTGTTTCCCAGTGATCCGCTAGCTCTAGTCTCACTGGTTTGATTAAATGAGTGGCATGGGCCCCTCCCAATAGGGACCTATAAATCTGTTTGAACCGGATCGGGTGGGCCAACCTTTTCAGTCTAATTCCCAGTTTCAGAACCATGATTAGGTTGATCAGACATCTAGTGCAGCTTGAGTCTATTAGGGCTTGGAAAGTCCCCTGAGTCCCTGTTTTTGGAGCTTTGAGTTGTATTGTGAAGATGAAAGGGGAGACTGGTTGACTCATCATTGGGTTGTTTTTGCCCTCGTCCTCGCTGTCATAGGAATAGAGTGACTGGACATCATTGCCTGGAGTTCCCTCCCATTCAGCTGGGTCAGGAGAGACCTCTACAGCCTGAAGAGCCTTGTGGGGCATGTTGGTGGCACATTTGGGGCCTTGTTCTGGTCGGGCCCTGGGCAGTGGCTCTAGCTTTAGTTCCAATCAGAAGGCTTTGATGCCACAAGTAATCTTTGAATTTGGGATTATGACATGCTTTGTGCTGCAGGCAAAGATCTATTACTTAGAGAACAAAACCCCTTTCAGAAGTGTGAGATTTAAAATATTCCAAATTTCATACTCACTAATTCGACAGACAACTCTGATGTACAAACAAAGTTTATTAAAAATGTGTTTGCAAAGGCAGGCCTTCACGTCTCTTCCCAAAGTTGAGATCATGAAGTGCACCCTCAGGGTTTCAAACAATACTTTTATACAGTTCCAATCAATATAGACCACACCTGAGCTCTCCCAGTTCCTTTTATCTACATGCTTGACAAACACCTCCTGCATGTGTGACATACACATCCTTTCCAAACAAGTAACACATCCTGCATTCATGACAAACATGACTTCCTTTTGTCCAGTTACTACAGGATTTATCTTATCTTTGTTTTATACAGTCTGTTCAGAGAAAGGCCACACTTGCTGCACATTCCGGTCAAGCTGACACACATTTGTTCTTCCCTTACAGTTAGTGGCTTTGCTGCTGAATCTTGCAATAAGAGTCATTAGCATTTTATAATACGATTCAATTTCTTTTATAAAAGAGTAACTTTCTACCCATTCTCACAGAAGGGACATCCTGACTTCCGGTTTGACATCACAGTGAGATTGATGCAGGGAAGCGGGGCTCCACATCCCCATGCCAAATCCTCTTCATTGGAGGGCCCCCCAAGAGTCACCCTGTAGGGGTGACATACAAAAGAGGGGCATCCTGCAGGTCACAGAGAGTGGCAGCTCTGCTGCTGGACTCAGGGTTTCTTCCCTCTTTGTCAAAGATGAATATGAGGTGGCCATTATGTCCGCCATGAAGCTGGGGCAGGTAAAGAAACTAAGATTGTGCTGGAGCAGTGTGAGAGGACAATGATGGAGCTGGGTGAGGTGATTTTTAATTCTTGCCTAGGATCTGACCCTAAAAGAAAATAAATCCGGGAAGAGGCTCTCTGGAATGTTTTTAAGTGTTGATTAAAGAGAAGCAGAGAAAAATTGCACCCTAACAGGAAATAAGCAAAAGCTATAAAATGCAGAAAGACTGGATGTATAAATCTTATTGGCATGACTTTGAACAGGCATTTAAAATGCTGGACATTTGACTGTTTATTGAATATACTTTGAATCACTTGAAATAAATAACTGGCTTTAACATTGACTTTTAAGCTGATGGCACCATTTACTGGTGAATGGATATATACTATGTCATACTCCTTGAATAACAAAAACAACCCTGGGAAATTCTGATAAGAGAAGAAAATAACACCAGGAGGTCTGCTATATTATCTACTGTTCTATATTATCTACCTTATGGTTACCGGAGGATCAACCTTGAAAACCTGGAGGATATTTAATGGAATGACTTTTGAATACTGGAACTAATTAGCAATTTAAAGAGTGGATTTAAGGAGCTATTTGGAAAATCCCCTGGACCGTATAAATGGAACCAACCGACTAATTGTGGGATATAAAGAACCATAACTATTGTATCTCCTGATGAACAAAGTTAAGATTGCTGGCTTTGGGAATTAAAAAAAAAAGACTCTTGAGTGGTGACAGATTATTGATAGAACATTGAGTAATATTTGAACTTTTTAAAATAAGACAAGATGGCTCACCAGGAAGAATTGGAGGCACTTCAAAAAAAACTATGTTGATGCTTCAAAGTTTTATGATACTATGAAGGGGAATTTCAGGGAGATAAAAAATTTACTACATGATATAACTGGAAAGACTGAAAATGTGCAACAAGGAATAATGAATCAAGATAATAAAATCCAGGAAACGGGAGATAACTGGAAGCTTAGAGGATGAGATAGAACAGATTACACAACAAATAGAACAAGGAGAAAAGCAGGAGATAATAAAGTTGGGCGAAATAAAGTTGGGAAAATATGTATTAGGAGGTAGAAAAATGGAACTGAATAAATCGAAAGGTATTTTTGGAAAAAAGACAGAGGATTTGGCAGACTCGCAGGTGGATTGGTAGCAAAAAATAGTGGAGATGGAAATAATGGTTGGGTTGAATATAAAAGATGTAAATAAAAATCCAAGGGAAGAGTATAGGAGGTGAATTAAAAAATAAAGATGTGAAACTTCTAAGAGAATGAGAGATGATGAATAGAAAGGATATTTTTTAAAACAAGATTGGCTGTATTAAGAATTAGAATAGATTAAGAAATTAGGAATAGGGGGAATTATTATACATATTTTTGCATAACACATTTAAAGTGAATGGTAGAGGTTAAGATCAGAATTTGAAAAAGTGTGTTGTTCTGTCTTTTATAATTACTGGCTGAATGTATAAAGACAAACAGGCAAACTCTACAGAGTCTTCCATACACATTTCTTTATTGGTCACAAGGCATTCTGAAGCTGTAACTCACGGTTTTGTCAAGATTCATCTAATGTGCAACTCTTTGCACAGCTGACTTCATAGTATAAAAAGACAGTTCTTTTCATCCCATAATGATGGAGCAGAGGGAGCCAGCATGCTTCTGGGTCCAGGCAAGGAAAGGGAACAAAGGGCTTCCCCCAATCCAACCAAGGGTCAATTCAGTGACCAACCAGGATTACAGATATGACCACATGACATGAACTACATTTACCATGAAGCCTTAACTACATTTACCATGATGCATTCCCTTAAGGGGACAGCTCCCAATTCCTAACTAACTATTCCACTTCCTAATTAACTATATACTGTCTAGGCAGCACACGCCCCGACTGGAATTATAAATTCCACTACCAACTATCTATCAATTAACTATAAATTAACAAGAGAAACAATAAACAGTAATATAGCATCAAACTAGCAAAGCATGCAAAGCTTGAGGTTCAATCTTCAAGTTCAGCCTTTCTCTGCTGCAACACTAGATCAGTCTGGTGTAGAGCTTCTTGGTGAAAGTCTGCTGGTCGTTTCTGGAGGCCTTGTAGGGTGGACAGGTACTCTTGCTTCCATCGGTTCCAAGGGATGTTGGCAAGCTGTTGGAATGGCTGTTGCAAAGGCATTTGCCTGGGTTGGGGTCTGCAGCCAATTGATACATACTATTCCTGAGATTCCCCAGCCCAGTTCTGTCTTAACAGCAAAAGGGGAGCCTCTCGGGCCTCTGAGTACTTCAATGCAAGCTAAAGCGTCAGGGGCATCTACTCCCAGCAAGAGCAAAATCTCGGCTTCAGGATCTAGAGCGGGAAAGTGATGAGCCATGTGCTTCAGGTGAGGTCTGTTGTTTACTACCTCTGGTGTTGCAATCTGGCTGCGGTCGTCTGGTATCCCATCCCATTCTAACACAGGTGGCAGTGGGAACCAGGAACTTCCATCTAATATACAGAGTCCAGTAGCTCTCCTCTCCACCATGCTTCGTGGTCCGTTGATATCGTGAAGTGCACTTCTTCCTTTTGAGCAGTGATGAGGTTGAAGAATACGGACCTGGCCAGTGAGTGATTGCTCTGATTATCCACTATTACATACAACTTCACTGCTTCTTCTGGGCATTCATCAGGGTAGATGTTGACTAAGCAGAACTGATGACATGAGCGAGGGGATAGTGTGTTATAGCACAGTGCCATGCAATTGACACTCACCACTGGCTCCGGATGTGCTTCTGTAGCACGCTGAGGGTCCTTGGCCAAAGGAGGGTTAGGAATTGTCTGCTGTGGTGGGTAAGAATCTGGATGCAGAGCGGCTGGGTGCGTGTTGCTGTTGCATAAGTAACATTGCACCTTGGCTGTGCAATCTCTGGCCGTGTGTTTAGACGATTCGCAACACTTGTAGCAGAATCTGTACTCCCTTATCAAAGCTTTCCTTAGGCACAGGGGCTTCTTTGCAAATGCTTGGCACCTGTTCAGCGGGTGTGGGGTGTTGTGTAATGGACAAATCTGGTCCTTCTTTGTTCTCAGAAGTCTATTTTGGGTTGTTTCTGACGTGTCTTCGCCCATTCTCTGCATGGATGAGGTAGTGATCTCCGTTTTATGTACAGACATGAGGGATTTTCCCTTAGCAGTTTGTGTCAGTCCTGTGGACAGCGCAGAGTTGCTGCTGGCTCTTTTGTCAGTTGGAGGACTAACAGCTCTGAGTCTGCGGGTCTGGGGTCATTGCACAACGTCGCCTGGTGGGCCACGAATGCTTCGAGAAAGGTAAGGGGAGGTACTTTGTTTCGACCATTGGCCCTGAAGGCCTCAGACAACTTGATCCATTGCTCAATTAGCATCTGTGGTAGTTTTCGAACGATTTTGCTTTGCATATCGAATTGGTTAAGACAAGTGAGTCCCGGTAAGTCGGGGTCCCTTTGTGCCACTCTCAGCTGTATAAGTATGTTAGAAAGGTCCCTGAGCTGGCTAGGCTCATTGAGAGTGATTTTAGGAAAGCTGTGGAGGTGATCCAAGAGTGATTATTCCACCTCTGTGTGTGCACCGTACTCTTCATCAAGTCTCTTCCACGTTAGCTGAATTGCAGCATCTGGATCTTTCAAGTGGGATCCATAAATGTCCTTCACTGCTCTTGCAGACCATGGCCCCAGCCATGCTATCAAGTGTACGAGTACTTTGTCAGGCTGCAGGCGTGCAGCCTGAATGTTGCACATGAAAATACTCTTCCATAGTAGATAATCTCTGCCTGGCTCGTCAGAGAATTTGTATACACCATTGGTGGCCAAATCTAGCTTTCCTCTCCTTAGTGCCAACTCTTGCCAGAATGACAGGTCATCTACTGAGGTGGCATAGGGGTTGTAGGTAAGGTACACTGGTACTGTGGAGTCTCCCTTTGGAATCTCATAGACTTGGTCCAGGTTGTGTCTCAGCAATGGCTCGTAGTCTTCCTCCCTGTACTTCCTGAGGAGGTTGTCCTCCCAGGCCATATACGATGGTTGTGCTTCATGCTGCTGGGCAGGCGGACCGTGGTTATCTCATTGTACCTCTGAGCTCGAGTAGTATTGAGGTTGTGGCAGGACGTCCACTGCATTTGGGTTGATCTGGAGAGTTGCCGCTTGATTTCTGCTGAGAAATCTTCGCTGTTACTGGTGGGCTAATTTGCTTGCCTTGCAGGTCTTGAGATGTTGGGTTAGGTTTTCTATTTTTGGGAATGGAATCTCGAGTCTTAGGTCTTACAATGTCAGTTTTGTGACTGGTGTTTAGAGTCTGTGGTTGAGATTGAGTTTTCTGTGCAGTCTCATACTCCATATATACAACATCTGCTGTGGAGAAGATCTGCATGCCTATACTGATATTTAAACCCCAAAAATGGCCAAATAGAAGGTGGATTCTGAAAGCAGGTACCGTATTTGCCGGCGTATAAGATGACTTTTTTGCCCTGAAAAACATGCCTCCAAGTGGGGGGGTCATCTTATACGCCGACAAATACGTTGTTGTCACTTGGTGCAAGAGCGACGGGGGCGGAGCTCCGCAACTTGCGAAGCCCCTTCAAGCCCAGCCGGAGTCTCTCTTCCTCCTCCTCCCCCCCACCCACCCTCCGCCCGGCTCGGGGCGCTTGCGGAGGCCAATCTGGAGGTGGGGTGGGGGTGGAGCGGGAGGGTCTCTGGTGGGGCCGCTTCGCCCAGCCAGCCCCGAGCCGCGTAATGGCATGGGAAGTGGGGGGGAGAAGGTGGTGGGGATGGACTGTGGCGCCCCTCCTTCTGGGCAGCAGGGCGGGGCCAGCAATTTGCTCCTCCCGCTTCTCCCTCCCTCTTTGAAAGACCGGAAGGGCTGTGCTTGGGGCGGGGGGGGTGTCCTCGGGAAGTTCCTGATGGGACCCCGCTGGGCAGGGCCACCCGGCTCCCAAGCTGCTTTCCAGGGTCCCCTTGGGAAGAAAAGGGTCCGGTGGGTGGTGGAAGAAGGCGAGGGACCTCCTCCCACCCCCTGTCCCGTCCCGTCCCTCCTCTTGTCCCCTCCTCCCCTCCCCGCTTAAGAGAGAAAGATCCGCCTCCCCAGCACCGAGCTGCCACCCAGCGCCGCGTCTCCCGGCCAGCGCGCGCTTGCAACTTGGGAACCGGCCAAGCGACTTTAAAACCGAGCGGAGGCCAGAGATAGCCGGAATTACCCTCCACACCACACACACACACACACACACACACACACACAGAGAGAGAGAGAGAGAGAGAGAGATATTTGGCAGCTGTCCATCCCCCACCCTTGGAGTCCTGATGGCGCGCACGCGGGGGCTGCTTAAGGGAGGAGGCCTTTCACTTTCCCCCGGGGGGGGCAGGAGCGTCACTTTCACTTGCAGGCAGCAGCGCGGCCTCTCCTTTCCCTTCCCACCCACCCACCCACTCCGCTCATGCGAGCGGACCGGCAGGCTCCAGGCTTTGCCCCCATCCCTCACCTCCTTCCACACCCCTCCACCCCCCCAGTGGCAGAAACTTCACCACACATGGGGACGAGTGGAGGGGGTGGGAGAGCAGCGACCCCGCTCAAAGCTGAGAAAGCGCCATCCTTGCTTTTGCGCTTAGGGAAGAGTTCGTGTTTTTTGTTTTTTTTGTTTTTCTCCCAGGAATGGGATGCTGCTCGTGCGATTTTGTAAGTTTGGGGGGGTCGTCTTATACGGCGAGTATATAACAAACTCTATATTTTGAGTGGAAATGTTGGGGGCTTGTCTTATACGCCCAGTCGTCTTATACACCGGTAAATACGGTACTTTCCAAAGAGGTGGGCTGCAGAGTACCTGTTTGTTGAGATTGAAGATAAGGCCATGTGCCTTGTTTGCAGAGCTAATATACTTATAGGATATAACATGAGATGGAACTATGAGACAAAACATCAGGACAAGTACAAAAACTTGGACATACAGCAGAAGCTAAAAAAGGTGAAAGGGTTTTAAAAGAGTCTGATATCATGGCAACATATGTTCAAAAAAGCAAAATCACAAAGTGAAGCTGCTGTGAAAGCTAGTTTTATAGTGACAGAAGAGATAGCTAAATCACTCAGAAGGGGAGTTTTTGAAGGACTGCATGATTAAAGTGTGCAAAGTCTTATGTTCAGACCAAAAGCAAGCATTTTTGAATGTAAGCATAAGAAGAAATACTGTTACTGATCAGTTATATAAGCTTGCCACTGATTTACATTTTCATTGCATTTTCCCTTGCTGTGGATCAGAGCAGTTATATCACTGGCACAGCACAGCTGACAAACTTCATCTGTGGACTGGACTCAAGTTTATGCAATACAGAGGAACTTTTGGATATGAAATCAATGCATGGCACTACCACAGGAAAAGACATATTTGAAGCAGTATCTAAATGTGTAAATGACATGAAACTTTCCTGGGACATATGTACAGGACTGACAACAGATGGAGCACCTTTGATGTTCTGGGAAAAGAGTGGATTAGTGGAAAGGATGTCAGAGAAGATGAAGAACGAGAATTGCACAGGTGAGCTGAAAGTATATCACTGCATCATACACCAGGAAACACTGTGCAGCAAAGCTCTGAAGATGGAGCAAGTAATGAACACTGTAACACAGACAGCTAACTTTATAAGCTCCAAAGGTTTAAAACACGACCAATTTAAGTCTTTTTTGGAGAAAATATATTCTGAACTTGGTGATCTGCCCCATCACACAGAGGTGTGATGGCTACATTGAGAAAAAGTGTTCAACAGATTTTCGAGTTGCATAAGGAAATCTGTCAGTTCATGGAAAGTAAAGAAAAAGACTCTACAGTACTGTGGGATGAAATGTGGCTGTATGAATTAGCTTTTTTGTGCAACATAAATATCTCACTGTGCTAAAACTTCAGTTTCAGGGACAGGACCGTATGATCACGGACATGTATGATGCACTGAAAGCCTTTCCAGTTAAGCTGTGGCTGTGGGAGACTCAGATGCAGCAGGGAAACTTGAGTCACTTTCCCTATTGCCAAACATTCATAAACCACTGCTGTGTTCTCAGATGCTCATTTTGCTGATAAATTGAACACACTTCACACGGAGTTTACACACCATTTTGTTGACTTTGAAGCACATAAATTCAATTTTGGACTGCTCAGTAATCCATTTGCAGTTGATGTGGAGAAAGCACCTGTAAACATCCAGATGGAATTGATAGAACTCCAATGTGAAAGCACACTTAAGGCAAAGTATGATTTTGTAGGGTACTGCCTTCCCCCTCCCCATAACATTGATGTTACTGTGAATAGTTCTAAATTAGTCTCTCTTTCTATCTATCTACAGGACAAGAATCTATACTTTTCCATCAACTCTTTCTTTGGCTAGAAATGTCTTCCCAAGGAAAGCAACCAAGCTCTATTTCAGCTCAACATGGAGAAAAGAAACAAAAAAAATGTTAATTTGGACTTGAAAATAAAAATAATTAAAGTCCATGAGAAGGAGAAGAAGGTAAAGACTATAGGATAAAAAGGACTCATCATGTGCATAAGGATAAAGAAGAGATAAAAGAGGCAATTAAATCAGCTCTAGGGACAGATGCCATAATCAACAAAAATAGGACAGACCTCATTTCAAAAACAGAAAAGTTACTTGTGCTTTGGATTGATGATCAGATCCAAAAAAGAATTCCAAAAATAGTCTTCATCTGATTCCTGCAAAGCACACAGTATTTTTGAAATGCTAAAGCAAGGAGGTGAGGAATGCAATGAGACATTTGGAGCCAGCCTTAGCTGGTTTATGCAATTTCAAAAATGATTCAGTTACTATAACATATGAATAACAGGTAAAGCTGCAAGTATTAAAGCTGCCCAACACTTTCCAGACAAACTGGATGAAATTATAGTAGAGGGCAACTATTTACCACACCAGATCTTTAATATGGATAAATCTGGGTTGCATTGCAAGAAAATGCCAGAGCAGACTTACATCCACAAAAAGGGCCAAAACAATGGATATAAATAATTTAAGGACAGAATAACTTTGTTATTGGGCAGAAATGTCTCTGGGTTCAAGTTGAAGCTATTGCCAATTCATAGATCAGAGAAACCTCATGCCTTCAAAAACATAAGTAAGCACACTCTCCCAGTGTGTTGCAGATCCACTCAGAAGGCATGGATGACACAAGCAATCTTTGAGGATTATTTTATGACTTGCTTTTTGTCACAAGTAAGGACTTACTACTTAGAGAATATCTCTTTCAGAATTCTCCTACTTCTGTACAATGGCCCTGGACCCCCAACATATCTCCTCAAAAACACAATCCCTCTCCTACAACCTATAGATCAGGGAGTGACTGCAACTTTTAAGGCACACTACTTATGTACTACATTTGCCAAAGCCATAGCTGCAAGGGAAAAAGAGAAATTAGCATTGCATTACTTTTTGGAAAGGTTACAATATCCTTCACTGCATCAAAAACATTGTAGAAGCCTGGCAGGATGCAACTACAAAATGTATCCCAGGGTTTTGGATAAAATGTTTAATACATTTTACTG